GAACATCATAAAGATAAAAATCGAACACTATTTTATCATAGTTTCACATAAATGAGCGAACCATATGAAACAAAAGTATCCGTTATTTAAGAGAATTTTATCTTTTTAATCGTCAAATGTTTCCTGATCAGAATCAAGATTGACATTGTCTAAATCGTTGATGATGTTGTTTGATGTACTGTTGTTTAATGTATTGTTGCTGTTTGACGTAGTGCTATTGTTGAACGCCACTGATTCCAGTTTCTTACTGGAACACAAATGAAATTTTATGCAAGAAAATTTTGTTAAAAAGATTAATTATTTTTAACTTACTTATCTCGGCTTTTTTTAGTACATTCCTGGCCATAGAGACTCTTTTATCCTATGCCCTCCATAAAATCATCAATTATTGATGGATCATGTGAGAAATAGAGTGCAATAAGATATTCTTTAATAAATGAAAATAGAGAAAAAAATGTGTAAATTCATATAATCTGCTTTCAAGAGGATTTTTTAAACATTCTAGAAATTACAAACTTCTTTCATTAGACAATGATAGTAGAAAACTAAACATAAATATAGTTTCTCTTCCTCCCTATCATATAAACATTGTCCTGTAAATACTAAAGCATAATGAATTTCAAAGCTTTCCGAAGTCGTCGGCTTCAGCTTTCGAATACACTTTTTTTTTGGTGCGATGTGCAAGAGATAAACAGCTACCTAATCGTTCAATAATGTTATTTCCCTATTTAAGGACATTTTTTGAACTTATATAATCACACTTTCACAAAGCTCATCGTTCAAATCAATGTAGACGCTCAAGATCAAGATAAACTTTCGAACTCTTACCATATAAGATATTGTTTGAAGTTTGTCAGTGTTATCAATCACAACAAGAAGGTTTTGAACACAGTACATGTAGAGCTGCTCGTTAGTCTGAAGAGATATTTGATTACTAATTATAAAAATGAATATAGTCTATTTCTATTAATTTGTGAAAAGTTGATATTTCATATCTCGAGCATAAGAAATATGAAAATTGGTTATTTCAGGAATTCATCTTCGCTTACTCTATTTCATTAAATAAAAATAAAAACCTTTTATTTTTTGTGGTGAAATGTCGTTGTTCTGTGGTGATAATTGTAGTATTTTGTTCTTGATTTCTTCAGAAGTGTACATCTTCCTCACCAAATGCCACATGTATGTAGTAGGTAAAGAAGTTCGAAGTTTCGCCAATAAATTTTCGTTTTCCCATAGCTTAAATAAAAATTCATCCATAGAAGAAACAAAAGAAATAACACTTACAATTGAAGCAGGTTTAGATTTTGGTTTTGTTCTTGCGATTTCCTGAAATGTATTTAAAAACGTTATTCTGAAATCATGTACAAGGTACTATACTGCCTGTATTCGATAACTTTTCTCTATAAGTTATACAAATGTGCGGATATAACATTTTACCTGATCTTTTCTAGCAGATCGACGAGCCAATTTCAAAATTTCATCCGTTTTCCTGTTTAAATTTTTCATGTCGTTTTCTAGCGTCACCTGCTTTTCGACAAGACTATCCAATATACTTTTATGAATCGTAATAAATTGATCAGATTCAATATTTCCATCTTCAATAACATGTGATTGTGTACCAACATCAACCGACGCTATGTTAACTACAACATATCAAAACAAAAATTCCATTGTATCAATAAAATATTATATGCATTACTTTGACAACGAATTGTACGTGGTAAGTGAATAGTATATGGTGATGATCGGTTTTGACAATGAGAAGTAATCATACGTTGTTGATCTATAAATTTTAAAAAGAGTATAATACAAAGGAGACACACATACAAGTTCTTTAATAGTATAGTTTTAAAACAATCTAGGACTCCTAAAAATTCTATCGCAATACAGAATGTACTTACTGATTGATGGAGAAGAACAAATAGGTCCATAGTAATTGCCTGTTTTACTTGTTGATGAATGTAAATATACATTTCGATGTTGAGATGAATGCTGATATTGTGATGAAGGTAATGCTGTAGTAACACTTGGAGAAGCATTACTTCTATAAGTTAGTATTGAAATTTTACTAAAAGAAATCAATCATAAGAAAACTAGAAGGAAATTAAAAACTTTCTATCGAAATAATCTATGATGATGAACGAAAATGCCTAAATTATTATCCAGAAGAAAAAAAGTAATGAAACAAGTGAAGATATTTCGATTCATTTCAGTCATGTTCAAGTTCATTGTCAATAGGCGTACAAACAATAAAACGATCGTCAACAAAAGGAAAAAAAACATTTCGTACGAAGATTTGTACAAGAAAAAATTAAAAAATTTTCAACTTTTTTAACAAGTGAATAAAAGTTATCAACACGTTCAGACCACATAGGTAAAGGATTATCTACCTGAATAGCCGATGAAAAATTGTAAGACGAAGAGCGTAGGTAAGACGACAGAAACATGTATAGATTGCTTTGATATGAAAAGAAAAACAATATTTTCCTATAACACTTTTGTTGTTAGCAAGAACAATTATCAAAACAAACATTGAAACTATATGACTGTTTCCGAAAAGAGTGAGAGAGTGAATGATATACAATGAGTCTGATTTTATACCGAGAACGAAAAATAACTGACTCATCTGGTGAACAAGAGAACATAAACGAAAAAGATTCATCAAAGTTTTTTTAATATTTATTAATAATGCGTTCATCAATATAACCATCTAAAAATTGTCCATGATCAGCAATGTTCAATTGATTTTCAATTGACATCGAATGAATGACACGATGAATTGTGTACCAATGAGCAATTTGTTGACCTAAATTCCTTGTGCCGTGAGACAATTTATATAGACCGTCTAAACATGACTCAGTACCAAACATGCTGTAAAAAGAATTATGGCAGATATGTGTTTGAAAATATATAACTTTAGTTAAATAAATGTCATTCTTCTGCCCATGAGCCGCCTTAGACACAAGAGATACTACGTATGAAAAGTCTTTCAAGGAATGAATAGTAACCACTCATAATTCAATAAGGTCTTATAAACTTCCAAGATAATGATTTTCCTTCGAATATATGAAGAAAATGTTTGAATTGACACAAAACGCTCGATCTTAACTAACTATTCTCTAAAGATTTTGATATTTCTTGCTTCAGATTTCTAACAGCAAGATTAACTAAAAGTGAAAATCAATCATTCTTTTAAGGAATGACTTAACACTTGTCTTCAACTCAACCGAACTAACACAACTTTTTGATTAGAAATAGTAAATGAGTTAATCGTATCTAGTTGAACTTAATGAGCCGTGGCGAATGACCTGTTGCCAAAGACGTACATTACAATGTGTAGACAAAAGTTCTTTCGACTTATAAAATTCAGAAAAACTTTGAAGATGATTTTCTACAAATGGACGTACATCATAAACATGTTGTCGTTCATCGAAGTTGCATAATGTACGAACATAAATAGCATACAACGAAAAATGATAGACAAATAATGAAGGAAAATAAGAAGAAAAATATAATAAAAATGGTAATGCCAAGTAAAGTAAATATAAACGTAATTCACTAGCCTTCCAATCATTGAATTTGCGGGTGTGGGTGGGTGTGGGTGGGTGTGGGTGTGGGTGTGGGTGTGGGTGTGGGTGTGGGTGTGTGAGTGTGGGTGTGCGGGTGGGCTGTGGGTGACGGTAATATTCTTCATCTACACCCTCACATCCACACCCACACCCACACCCCACACCCACACTCACCCACACCCACAACCGCCCACACCCAGACCCACAACCCACACTCACACCCGCCCGCACCCCACACCCACAACCACACCCACTAACACCACCGATAAAAACTTGTTTCTTCTTTATGTTTATCGTACAGCTGATCTTTTCTCTTATCTCGTTTCATTTCATGATTGAATTCCTCTTATCTTTTGAATAGAGAAAAGACAAGAAAAGAAAGTTTCTTTCTCGTTTCATACGTATTAGAAGATGCATTCTTCTGATTGCTTATTTCACTGTATTCCTAAAGCGTTCCTTTCTTTACATGACACTCGCTAATATCTAAATCATGGTGACCATTCAAATAAAGCTTAATTTACATTCATTCCTTATACTGACACTGTACAGTACTCCATAACATTTTGATATTATTTCGTTTACTAGCTATTTCAGTATTCTATTATGATGAAGCAGCAAAAAAAAGATATGCAATTCAAAACTGTGTCGAGAGACTTTTAAGCGAGATGAGCGTGCATCATATAATTGTTTCAACTTTTCGACGCTTACTCAAAGTTTATATGAATATATCAAACCAGTATTAACGAGGGATCTACCCGAGCTGTAAAAAACCTTTTCGACCAGGGATGTGATGGTTAGATAGGGCACAGTTAGGGGTGATACACCCTGAGTTAGTTCGTCCCCAAGTTGCTTCTAGCAGAAGTTATGAATTTTTCAAGTTATGAGCAAAATATGCGTTTTTGCCTCCAAATCTTACAAGAGAAGTACCCAAACTGATTAATCGTTTTTGAATTCAAACTCTATGCATAAGGTAAACTTCAATGAGGCATGAAAAACCTCAAAAGTATAAGGATCCATAGGCCTTCCCTCTAGAGTTATAGCCATCTTACTGGAATTTTAGCCTGTGGCATGATATACACTAAAAAGTAGAATGACCGTATTTCGATCTAAAATTTTGCCTACCAATAGGTCAACTTGTAATTAAAATGCTCCGAAATTTTCAACTAAAAGAAATGTTTCCTTCACGAGATAGTGAATTTCCAAAAATCACTCGTATTCCGTGAAAGATGCGGGAGTCTTATGTGTTTTTGGAAATTCAATATCTCTTGAAGGAAACATTTCTTTTAGCTGAAAATTTTGGAGCATTTTAATTACAAGGGTGTGGGTGTAGGTGTGGGCGAGTGTGGGGTGTGGGTGTGGGTGTATGGGTGTGGGGGTGTGGGTGCTGGTGTGAATGTTCGAGTGGGTGTGTTTGTTGTTTTTCTCATAACCCACACCCACACCCACGCCCTTACTTGACTTAACATGACTTTCAAGTGACTTAAGTCAGTCGTTTTCCTCCGTTGGAGAAATATCATTCCCTTTTTAAAAATACCAATCGTCTCTATTTCAATCAACTACAATATTAAACTTGTTAACTGAAGAAAACAGACACTTCTTCCAACGTTGTGGCACGTAAGAGAGAAATTTATGTCGCCACTAAAAAAA